GAAGTGTGGAATGTCATCAGCATGAGGCCGTAAGAATTCGGTATTTTATGAATTTTTATTACCAAAAGTGAGTTTTGAATTGCTGATTAGCTATATATCTGAAAGTTGATACTTGCGACAAACTTCAACTTCAAATTGACGACTTTTCTAGAGAAATTATAAAGATATTTTTTTTCAAATTTAGCAGGTGTCCCTCTGTGAGATAATTACCAAGACCTTCCAAACAAGGGTCACAAATCCATGATCAGCCAGCAATGCCCAGATTATAAAATGAAATTTGAAAAATTTCAGGATCAGAACTATGAAATTGTATACACACCTGGGTTTGTAACCGTTACTTCTTTCAATTTTTTTAAAACGATATGAAGCCATTCCACGAATGTTGAGGTTTTTGTATTTAGAAATAGGTTCAAGTCATCATTCATCTGTGATTTTGTTCTTTTATTGGCTACCATAACCATGATATAATCAGGCAATTCATCATCTGAGAAAAAAATTGATTAGAATATGATATTTCTCAAACTACAAATTAAACTTACCCGCATAACAATTCAATTCTAGAAGTTTGGCTTTAATGGCAGACTAAAAAAAAATTCAAAAATGTAATATTATTGACATAACCTTAAACGTAAATGTGAATAAAAACCTAATCTACAAACCCTCATCTTTTGACCAACTTCAGCTCCAACGTTATCCATTTTTTAATACTAAATTATTATTTTATCGACTTTCGTTCAATAGTAATAGTACTTTTGAAAAGTAAATCTACTACCTGACTTCATTTTCACAATAAAACACATTCCGGAATGAATGAATTGAAATACAAAAGTTAACTGATAATGACAACAGACCCATTCTAATTTATACCTGTACGTACCTACACATTACTTGTTTTATCGTCAGTTGGATTGAATGATAATGACAAGATGAATAATGATTTAATATTTGATTGACGACATTGACGTTTGACCGTCGGATGTCGAGTGATAGCTAATTTGTTTTACCCACAAAAACATATTTTTGACAACACCACTATAACCGCTATATCGGATTTCGGAGTAATATATTTCTTATTACTCTGAGTATCTGGGACTCTGGGAGGTAAGGGAAATTGTTGTACCTAGAGCCTAGTGTACCTTAAAACGATTCTCATTTAGGACAGACATCGTCATCTATCAATTTGAAATTAAGGTACAATCCTCTCTTGCTTGTCCTTGTGGTTCACTTATGTTTCGCAATGAAAAAAGTGTTCTTTCGCCATAAAAAGTAAATAATTTGCAATGTATTCGTGTGTAGATAATTTGAGAAGTGGTAGCTTTCAAATAATCAAATAATTTTTGTGTGTACTAGAGTTCAATGGTGAGTAAATGAACAATGTTTTTTTTCTTTGGATACTTCGGCATTTGTTCTTTTCAGAACTATGCCGCGTAGTAAAGAAGGTAAAAACGAAATACCGTGAATCCAGAATCCTTACATAGGACTCTAGAAGCTGTTAACTCTTTTGATACAGAGAAGAAAATTTCATATACTATGATAGCCTCTGTAAATGCCGTTGGAAACTACAATCCTCCAATGTTAATATTCCCTGGAACTGTTGGGAGTGCAACTCACTCAGGATGGTCTAACGGGAAAATATTTTTGAAATTCTTAGATCATTTCATTGTGAATGTAAAACGTTCTAGAGATGAGAGGGTATTGTTACTGTTATGAGAGCCATCTGTCAGTAGAGGCACTAGAAAAAGCTTCTAGTGCTGGTATTTTTATAGTGACATTCCCACCTCATACATCTAATAATTTACAGCCCCTAGATTTCACCCTATATGGTCCTTTGAAAACATTTTATAACAAGATGTCGATGCATGGCTGGTCAATAGTGCAGGCAAAACGTTTGATATTTATTGCGTTTCAGAGGTTTTGGGAACTGCTTTTCCAAGGACTTTCACTCCAAGTAATATTTTGAGTGCTTTTAGATGCTCAGGAATTTCCCCGTTGGATAGAGCAATTTTTTCGGAAGAGGACTTTCCTGTGGCTAACGTCACTGATAACGAACCACTCACTGAAGTTGTTTCTAATAGTTCACCAACAATTTCGATTAATGTCTCAATAAAACCAGCAAAGCTTGGCAGTCCTAGGTCTCCCTCAAAATCTGCCAATATTTCAACGCCTCTTATCCTACAGTTCAAGATAAGTCAGTAGAACTAGAAGAAGAACCATCGGCAGGACCTTCAGGCGTGCAACATGTATTGATATCTGGGCTTACCAATAGGAAACAGATCAGTGAAACAAGCTTTGTATCCCCTGAACAAGTGCAACCGTTTTCCAAAGTACAATCTAAACAAGGCCAGAAAAATCAGCAGTCGCCCGNATTTTTTCTTTTTGACTGGCCAGTCTAATAATATACTTTCAAGTAATTTTTCAAGCACAGTTCGGGCCCAGACCTTGTTGAGTTGGAAAAATTACTCAATTGATCATTTCAAATAATCGACTACTAATCATAATTCACCTGTGGCTCATCTACAACTAACTCACTGTCATTTTCTAATCTTTTTAACAAACACCTCATACTTTGCCCTGATTTGAGAGACATGCTTGGATCAAGTTCAATAGTACTCAATTCTAAAGAAGGGTTTTTTATTCACTCTCGGCGGAGACACTCGATTTGAATTAGTATTTTCATTCTTGGACCTAGGCTGTTGGCTACACATGCGCTTTAGGCACATCCAAATTAAGACCATAAAAAATAATATAAGTATGGTGCATAAGGTACCAAAAAATATATTTCGTTTCCCTGGATTTACTGGTCTGCCCTTACTGGATTAAATACATTGGGGAGTATTGTTAATGCATGGTTCAAAAGTCAATAAATAAAAACTCACATTCCTACCCATATGTATTTATTCATATTGAAAAACGAAATAACCAACCCGTTGATGAAAAAAAAAGACTAAATATATACATACATATATACACATACACTAATCCCCTGGATCCACTGGAGGTGTCCAGGGATCATTATAAGGTAGTATTCTAGCAACATGAACAATTTCCCTTTTTGCATTTGCTGACTTCCCCTTCTTGATTTCGTATGTTACCTCACTTGTCTTTTTCGTGATAGTATAAGGGCCACACCATTTTAGCAGAAGTTTTTCGCTTCGTACCACTTTCCTGGTGGATGTAAAAACCTTCACGTCATCCCCTACGTCATATTCCACATGTCTATGTCTTTTGCCGAATCTTCTCTTATCTTTTGCGCTTGTTCACATTGTCCACTGCCAAACTCCTGATGGCTCCTGCTCTATCACGAAGTTTTAGTGCATCATCCGATTTCACAGACTGTTCACAGCCGTAAACTAGATTGAAAGGAGAGAAACGTGTTGTGTCCTGAATGGAGGTAATGTATGCAAAAGTTAAAAGGCTGAGGCTTTCGTCCGTCAGTTTGTTGGTTATTTGTGAATATCGAGATCATATTCGCGAGTGTTTTGTTGAATCGTTCTGTCAAGCCGTTTGTCATTGGGTGATAAGCAGTAGTGAACCGGCTTAAAAAACTAGCATATATGTTTTAGAAGAAGTGGATGCATGAATACCTTACATATCTGACAAAACGAAGCAAATGGCAACAAGAAACACCATGTATATGAAAGAACTATGCTGTGCTCATAGATGACCTCAATGGTCCAAGAAAACATTGGCTCAAAAGTAGAGTTTTGAATTTGTATCCTGCGAAAGAAAACCGAATTAGGATAGTTGACTTTCTGTAGCCAACGGAGTCATTTTAAAAAGACCTGTTTCAAGACTTAGTATATTGGATGTGAAAGGAAAACATGAAGATTGAGTAATTGTTAATTTCTTCCCTAGAACAACTACTGGGGGAAGAATGTTTCAGTTACTGGACTAATTTATATTGAAGTTAATTTGTATTAGTTGCTAAGAGAAAATAATAAAAAAAATTGTTTTGACTTTCTAAAAACCGACTTTCAAAAATTATTATAAAAAATTGGTGATTCGACCTGATATAAAGAAATCCTATATATTTGGCAGTATTAGAAAGCTTACACACTCATATATGTGTGTAATAATTTTAATTGAATTGACTTTAAAACAATGTTACAATTTTCCCTATTGAAGGGAAATTCAAAACTCACCACACTTCATTGTCCGATTTCATATTCTGACCCAAGCATGTATCCGATTCTGTGTTCGGTGACTTATCCAATTCTAATTGGACATTATTGGATTCAATATTTTCCAGTTCAAGTTCAGCATTTGGACTTGCTCTCTTCAGTTCTTTTTGTAAATTTCCTGAAATATTCATTGTGCTCATTGTCAAATAAACCCAACAGATTTATAAAACAAACAACACAAAAACAAAGTCGAACGACATTAAGCTAAAAAACAAATTAAAAACAATATCTCTCTATTTTTCATGGCTCCCTATTTGACCGGATTTCGAACTGTCAAATATAATGCGTATTCGGGTTGTCAGTTCGGAGTAGTTCCTATATTACTATATTCTGTAGTTCGGACGATTCTACTCATCTGGTAGGACGGTTTTGAGAGTAGACTCGCGCCTAATTTTCCAAGTTTCGTGCGACTGTTCAGTTCAGATAGCGAACCGAATACGACTGTAGTCGTACAGTATTGCGCGAGTCTACTCTCAATAATCAGCTGGGTAATTATTCTGCACCATTCTAGAATCGTTCAAACTGCGAACCAGAATACGCCTTTTGTCAAAATCAAGATGCATATACGGGTTTCTATTCATAATTGTCTTTTGGCCAGTTAGCCTTGACATTTTATTAAAGGATTCCCTTGATCTAGGTTCGTCTTAGCAGGGTTGCCAATGAAAATTGCACAAATACTTCAAAACTTGTCAAGTACTTGGCAAGTAGCGAGTAGTGTGTATGGCGACTTGTGCTGACTTGTCGAGTTACTTGGACTTCCCATCGGTTGTCGGAAAACGGACCCTAGTCAAAGATGCCAAGTCGATTACTTCCGAGTTTGGTTTGTCAGCGCTACACTACGCGGACTTTACTTGGCGAGTTGCTGCGAGCGGTGTTGTTGTTTTGAATAATAAAAAGTTATTTGTTGTGTTGTGTTGACTGTAAAAAAAGTTATATGTATTTTAAATGGCTTGGAGCAATGATGCCACACTTAATTTTCTGAATATTCATCAAAAGGAACCAGTTATTTGGGACCCGTCACATAAAAAGCATTCGATGCCTGGAAGCGAATCCAAATTGAGTTTTTAAGAGAAACTAATTTAGAATGCAGCATAGATGAATTGAAGAAGAAAAAGGAATCTCTTATGGCTACATTATTTACGTAAAAAATTATGCAGGAAACAGCAAGTCATTGTGACAAGAACAACTTTATTTGGCTGTAGCAACATAGGTTTTCTCAAGACTCGAAACAAGGAGCTCATAATCCCCAAAACATTTTCCACTATTCGGCGGGCACGGCAAAGTCGGTAATTAAATACTCTTTGTGAGCTTCCTTTCATATAAAGGCCTGGAAAAGGTTTCAAACAAAATATGTGAACTCAATCCAAAAGCATCATCGGCAACAAAGACGAAGGGTAAACATCTGTTCGTTCCGTTAACTTTCTCGTTTATTGGTAAATTTAATTGATTGCTTTCCATTTTTTCGAATAATGAAGTATTTCTGAAGACAGCTCCATCACTCAATCAGAAAAATAAAATGTATGAAAACGTGGAAAGCGCATTCAACATGTTGAAACAAAAATCTATGTTACAGCCGGAACGAAATGA